TACTGACCTATCTCCATGTACATTCGGATATACTGTCCTCTGCTCCATTTGAGTCAGAGGAGGCCTGGCTCTTACACATCTACTGCCACAGTCAGCCCATGGAACCTGCAATTCTCTCCATGGTTAGGGTTCTGAGACCAGCAGTTCAGTTGGTAGGGAATCATGCAAGAAACTTCATTGGATGTGTCCCTGCCTGGCCTGGTTTGCCCCCATTCCAGCTCTCATGCTCACCACGGGGAGTAGTGGCTATGCAGGGGGTTCTTCGCAGACCTCTTACTGGGGTTATTCCCGCCATATCCCGTGTTTCACATGTGCTGGATGGGTGCTGCGGCCCTGTCTGGCACAGCCCTGTCACCTCAGCATTTGCCAGTGGGTGGGGCAACCTGGCCATGCCAAGCCCACACCCAATTCCAGCTCACATTGGGGGAGCCTACAGCCTAGCCCAGCCCTGCCAGCCCCCAATCCCGGCCCTCATGTGGACTGGCTGGTATTGCGCCCTGACCCAGCCTAAACCACACTCCATTCTGGCACTTGGATTTGCCAGTTGGTGATATGGACTTACCCAGCCTGGCCTGCCCCCGACCTGCACCAAATGTATGCTGATGGGTACCATATTTCGACCTGGTCTGGGCTGTTCCCTGTCTTGGTTTTTTGCACTCACCTGCAGGGAGAGTGTCCTGAAAGAGGAGTTCCCCAGGCTCCTCCATCTGGATCTCTCCCAATGCCTTATCTCACACACACCAGTGGGTCCATGGGCGAGCCCTACTTAGTCTACCTCCTGTCCTAGCAGGAACAGTGGCCTTTTCTCACAGGCCCTCACCCATTCCGGTTCTTGCTGTTGGGCGCTACAATCCAGCCAAACCTGATCCATACCCAAACACAGCTCACACATGGCTCAGCGGGGGCAGAGATCTGGCTAGCCCATCCTATACCTATCCTGGTTCTCATGAGTACCAGTGGGTGCTGGATTCTAGTCCAGTCTGGCGCATCCCATACCCAGCCCACACACGTCCAGGGACTCTGCAGCTATACCCAGACAAGAATGCAGCCCCTACCTTGACCCTTGCGCTCTCCAATGGGGATCACAACCTGGCCAGGGTGTCCCCTTTTCACCCAAGCAAGGCCTGTTCCAGAGATCTCACATGTGCCAGTGGTTGCTCTGACCCGGCTTAGCATAGCCCCATTCGTCTTAGCCTGTAGCCTGGCCTGATCTAGCCAGCCCCTAGTCCCAACTCTCACTGGTGGGTGCTGCAACCTAGCCCTGCTCAGACTGCTCCCATCACTGGCTCATATGAACCAGTAGGTGTGATACCTTAGCCTGGCATGACCTGGGCTCCAGCCTGGTTTCTGCACTCGAGAGCGGGCTAAGATCTGCTCGGCCCTGCCAGGTCTGTCCCCTTCCAAAACCGACCCACACACTTGCCAACAGGTGGGGCTACCTTGCCCAGCTTGCTTGACCTAGAACACATGCTTACCAGTGGGAGTTATGGCCCAATAAGGGATTCTCCAAGTTTCCCCACTCAGCCCACTCCCAGCAGGTGCTAGGCCCCTGCCTGGCATAGCCCTTGCCCCTCCATCTTGGCCTTTTTATGAGCTGGTGGATGTTGTGGGTTGGCCTGCCCTACACCATTCTAGGATGTACATGAAGGTGTTGCAGCTTGGACCTGCCAAGCCTATTCTCAGCTCCAGTACCCATGAGTGTTGGCGGGTTCCAAGTTCACTCCTAGTTCAGCCAGTCACCACCCCAACTCTTGAGCTAACCACTGGGACTTGTACTTCCACAGGGTTGGGCCCATTGATCCACCACAGAATCTACTCCCAGGCTTGGTTCTCTCACTTGCTGGTTAGTGTCATGGTCCTGCCTAGTGTGACCTGGCCCCTGTTCCAACAGTCAGGTATTTGGATATAGCTCTGCTAGACAGGACCCCAACCATAGCTTTAGTGTGGTATGGAGTGTGGTGGTCGGTGATGCTATGCATTAACAAGCCCATCTCAGGCTTCCCATGTGGGCTGATGAATCAGACCTGGTGATATGGAGGGGAATCAGTCCCCTCACTTAACAGTGGCCCTGTTGTTAGGTGTCCTTCAGGATTCATTCCTCACTTATACATATGGTGTCCATATTCATGGATGTCCCTAGCCAATATTTAATTAGCCCCAAGCCCCCAGAGCCAGCCACCTGCAGAAAAATAATGGTGACGGCCGCTTAAAAAGTAGTCTGACAGGGGTGGGGTGGGGGTGAGAGGGATTGGAGGGGTGGGCTGCTTCCTCCGCTTATCAGCCAAGATTGGCCTATGGAGTGGAGTTTCGCTCGGTGTGTCCAACCTGCAGCAGTCTATGTCTTAAGGAGATAGTATACATGGTCTGAAACGTTTTGTCAAGCATACCATACTGAACACATCTTTCTATGGTCTCCTAAAATCTAAGTTTACCATTAAAGATCAATAATGAGACATTTTCAAGTATTTTTAGAAATAATTTGGGCCTGGTGTGATTGGTCAGTGGCTAAATCTTAGCCTCGTACTTGCCAGGATTCCATATAGGCACCAGTTCATGTCCCAGCTGCCCTGCTTCCCATCCAGCTCCCTTGCTTGTGCCCTGGGAAAGCAGTAGAGGATTGCCCAAAGCTTTGGGATCCTGCACCCACATGGGAGACCCCAAGAAGGAACTCCTGGCTCGTGCTTAGCTCAGCACTGGCCACTGAAGTCACTTCGGGAGCAGAAACAGCAGATGAAAGATCTTGCTGTCTCTCCTCTCTGTAAATTTGCCTTTCCAACAAAAATAGATATTTCTAGAAAATAGCCTAACTAAAGACTTCTCAGGGATTAGATTAACAAAACTACTTTGGGTTTGTATTTCAGGTGCAGGGGGTAGAATGCAGACACCACATCTGCCAGATGAATGACTGTGAAAGCAAAGATGAACCTCAGAACTGGTGAACATTTTCTTACAGGCTGACAAGGTTGCTAAGCACACAGACTTAGCTTTAAAAGACGGCTAGGGGTCTCACTGCTGGCTCTGCTATTCTCTATAGAGGTCCCAGAGTTCTACCCCTGCTGTTTAGAAGTTTCCCCATGTCCCCCTTCCTTAACCATTTAGCTTTTTCCTATGCTCCTTTTCATATCATGGCTGACAATGGCCACAGAATTCTCAGGGATGAGATTCTGCCTAAAGCAGATGACAAAAAGACAGACTCAGGCACACATGCTACTCTTTCAGGAGCTGATGCTCACACCTATAAAATGGTTAATACCATTTAACTCAAACGGACTTCTGACTCACCTTATAATAGAGGCTATTAATAACTATCTGCTGAAGCAATGAGTGAATGAAAGGAAGAGTCCACTATCATGAAGGCAGGGTTCCTAAGAATGTACGCATGCATGTAGGCTGAAGTTGAGAAGTGAGCTGACATAACCATGTAACTTAGCTATACTGTAAGAAATTAATTTCCCAAGAATCACACAGTGATGTCTGCGGTGTTGTGCTTCAAGCAAATTAGGACTCATGAATTGGGAAAACCACCCACTTAGCCCCAAAATGATTTGGAGATGTTCAATTAAGTGATCCATCACCTAGCTTCTCATGTGAAGATTTTGGTACGTGAGTTTTGCGTATTTAAGTATCCTGACTTGGTGCTTTTTTAGTGTCTGCTGAAATAAATCACTCACCATTTTTACACCCCAGTTTAGAAGAACAATCATTTTTTATTAAAAAACAAAAAATTAAAAAGCTTCTTTCAGTTACACAGTAGGCACAAGAATTTCAGCAACACATTCTTTCACATAAAATGGACTGAGTGATAGAAGTTGTAGAATTTACTACCCTCCTTGAAGAGAGCAGCAGAGTGCTAAAACAACACCACCCTCACGGAGGACGCCAAGGGACCACAGGCAAGGCTGTGATCTCTGGCTGCAGCAAGGGCTGAAATTAGGAACATGAAAGAAATCTGAAGAAAAAAAAGGCATTCAGTACTCTAAAATTCTTCAGCAGAGAGAGCCAAACATGGGTACACAACTTGGAAAGAGAATTGTTCAATATGCAGTATTGCTGGAAGATAAATGTTCTTAACTGACTTTTGTCCTATGCAAAAAAAGCCGTTCTTGCTACTGAGGAGTATTTTCTCCTGGGTCAGATAAAAGTTTTGCTTTCTTTTCCTAGAGGCAAAAATGAATTAGGCCTTCTGCAGGGACTGTGAATTTATTTTAGACTAGGGCACTTTAATTCCTTGCTTGTTTGTTTCTCTCTTTTTACCCAATTAATGAGGGTTAGAATATGCCAGAAAAAAAGAACTAATAAAGTTTGGCTCCTTAAAGGTTTAATGGGTGAAAACACTGAAGAAACTGGCTATGGATCCTAATTATCCCTGGGGTCTCCAGTTCCAGGCATAATCAGGACTTAAAAGTGCAATGCAACTACTTAAAACCAGAGTAAGCCTGCATTGCACCCAGGGTCCAGCACATCTACAGCACTGAAAATGTCAAGGTACTGTAAACAAACAAGCAACTCTTCAACAGCTCTTCACATCTGGTGCACAACTACAATCTACTTTTGTCTTCCACTTATCTACTTGGATATTCTTACGAGTGCATGTGCAATACATTTTCCCTTTAAACAAAACATTTTCTCTTTAAATGTGCTCTGATACAACAACACACAGGTGACTGGTACTAAGACCTGACATCTCCAATGCTAACTGCTAGGGAGATGTCAAGTCTTGGCATCATCTCAGGTCTGAGACAGAGGAGCATCAGGGCAAGGAGGACCCTTTTGGTGCAGGTGCCAGATGTACTCATCAGCAGCAATGCTGGATCCCCTTTCTCCACAGGTATTTTCTGTGCCGACTGTATGCAGTTCATTATGACTAATATGCTGACCTCAGTAAGAATTTCAGGAAGGTATTTCAATTATTTGGGAATGACAGTTCCCTCCTATTATGCAAATCAGGCTTCCAGAAGACTTCCAATAATAGTTTTGGAAGAAGCTAAACATGACACAAATTAGTACAAACTGTCCTTTACTTTTATTGCTTGTATACATAAGGAATTCATTATAAAACTCACGGGGAGAAGGAAGAAATAATGCAAGAAAAAGTTACCTGCTTTAGCATTTTTAAGAATAGTTTTGATAACTTCTTAGGTCAACTTGCTTATCTGAAACAGCAAAATCTACAATACAATCATATAGAATTCTAACAGTTGGGGTAATTATGTTTTCATTTTTTTTCTTTTAATATAACATTAATGCTATAAAAATGAAATTTGTGACCCTCTTATTTAAAACACATTTTGTACAGTATCAAAAAGTGACTACCAACTGAAAAAATAGAGCTTGCATGGGTTATTATTTCAATAATGTTTTTTAAAGTTATTTTGAAGGTTGGTAGCAAAGTTCTTATTAAGAATATAAATATTCTGTTCATAAATGCTGAAATTTTCTTAAAAGAATTGATAGACAGCAAAGATAGAATGGACTTGCAAGGAAAATCAATTATCCCAATATTTAGAATAATCAAGATACTTGATAAATTTAAATGTACTTCTGTAACTTGCTCACTGTTCCTCATTTTCTTGGCTTATTTTTCAGCTGATACACAAAGCCACCTGAAGCATAAGGCTTTTAGCTGGAACAGTTATTTCCATTTTCCATCATTTCTTTCTAGCTTTTCCAAATACGTGGTTAAAAACAATCCAATAATCACTGCAGGAAGGAATGGTCATTTAAGATGAATTATGGTTTTTTTGTCCTTTAATTTAAGAGATATTAATATCAGAGTCATAAAAGCTTTACAGTTTCAACACACACATATACACACGGAATTAGAAATCTTTATGCCTTAAAAAAGATCCACTTTGTTCAATTTCTCAGAAACAAAATTTAGTTGAGTGAAATGTGGAAAAAAATGCTTTCATTAAATTCAGCAGCCTCTACTTACCTGTAAGTATTTTATAGATGGAGCTAAGTTCAGTACTGATCCAAGGCTCCTGGCACCAGAGCCTTTCACTCTAAACGACCTGTACTTCTGTAACGTACCATCAATTACTCTAGATTAATAATACCCTGTTCTTCAACTTGGTATATATCACCTTTTGGAAAAAAAATAATTTTTAGTTCTTTGAGATGAGATACAAGAACAAAGTTATTCTTGAGGTTCCACCTCTAATATGAAAAGGTCGATGTTCGCACACAGCAGCGAGTTTGATACCCCCAGTTGTTAGGCTAGCCTTCACACACTGAGCATGCATACACGGCCACTTCACTGCATCGGTTCTGAAGTTGAGAACTGCTGCTTATTCAAGTCACAGATGCCAACACATTATACAACGAGACAGTGGAATTGCATGTCCACCTTGAGAAAAGGAAAATAAACGATGAAACAAAGGCAGCAAATATAGGTAGTGGCATTCAGAACATGCCAAAAAGCTAACACTCATGAGCTGTCATTATATGGGTTTTTCTTTCTTTAAAAGAAAAGTCCTTGCATATTTTAAAATGTTGCAGCCCCAGAGAGTCATGAAGTGCCTTGCCGTTTTTGTTGCTGACTTCTGATGACCTCTAGTTGTTTTTTGCATTGCTGGTAGTAAGTAGAAAGGCTTTTGTTTTCATCTAAAAGCTTTTTATGTTCTTGTACCAGTCGAGATGTATTTTGCTGGTCCTTTTCATCCTGGTCCAATTCTGCAACTAGTTCTTGCCTGAAAACAAATACCACATAACAAAGCATTATGAACGATGGAGAAATCCATACCTTCAAAGTTGATGCCAGAAGTTCAATTAACGAAAACTCTATTCTGAGTATAACATTGTGCATCTTAGGTACACTAGTCAAAAGTAACGGCAGACTAGGATGGAAGCTAACACCCCCTTCCCTTGGATATTGGCACAAACATCATGATCCATTCAGCAAGTCAATGGACCCAGACAATCAGCAAGGAAACAGACAAAATGGTAAAACAGAAGTTTCAGAAAACTTCACTTGGTGCCTTTTTGTATTAAAAGGAAATAAGTATCTGGGAAAAGTTGTTTAAGTTTACAAGAAAAAAATTAATGAGATTTTTCTTATTATTCATATTCTATTTTACTTTTAAAGATTTATTTATTTGAAAGGTAGAGTCACAAAGAGATACACACACGGGTGCTTCTATCCACTAGTTTCTTCCAAAATGGTCAGCCACAAAAGCAGGTGCTGGGCCAGGAAGAAGCCAGAAATATCCTTCTCCTGGCCTCCCACATTAGTGCAGGGGTGAAAGCACTTGGGCTGTCCTACACCGCTTTTCCAGGGACATGAGCAGGGGACTGGATAGTAAATGGTACAACCAAGATCCAAACTGGCACCCGTGTGAGATGCTGGGGCTGTACATAGCAGCTCTCCCTGCAACACCACAACACCATTCTCTCACATTCTATTTTTATACTCACACACTCATATTCTGGTCACAATTTTATTTAACTACAATGCTTTGGGCTAACCAACAGAACTCATTAGAACTTGCAAACTCAACTGACAGTATCTAACTTGAAACTTTCTGATTTTAAAAGTGAACACAACACAAAGTATCAATTTTAAACTAACTTTGCCAATGTTTTCAGGACAAATCCTCAGTGTTTCACAAACTGTTAAACTTAAAAGTAATTTTTATCCAGGGGATAGTATTAAATCCTACAGTGAAGTTATTGGATAAAATGAGTAGCTAATAAAAAAACCTTTCAACATCATACTCTTTCATTTTAAATATTTACTCTGAAAAATTTGTTATTTTAAGAATTGTCATTTTATTTATTCTTGTTTAATTTGAAAGTTAGAGAGAGAGGTAGAGAAACAGAGAGCAATTGTCCATGCGCTAGGACTCAATCAGGCTTTCCCACAGAATTAAAATGTTTCAGTCTTCATCTGCTGGCTTCCAGAGTGCACACTAGCTGGAAGCTGGCACTGGGAGGCATCCTGTCGTGGGCTATATGTGGGCTATACATAGGCATCCTGATACGGGATGCTGGTATCGCCAGGGGCTTCTTGACTATTGTGCCAAACCACAAAAGCAGGGATAGGAGCCATCTAATCGTGGGCTATACACAGGCCATGAAAGCATTTGGTCTCTTGTGCCAAAGCAACTGCAAGCAGGACCTGAAATTTGCTAAATTTACAGCAGGCTAACTTTAAAGTTGATTATCCTGTAGGACTCATTAATAAAGTTATAAATATCCAAATGGTCCATAACAGAAAAAAAAGTTCCCCACTCCTGTCCCAAAGTATTTAACATACATTTATACAGTGGCCATGATTTTTTGCAAGTCATTTTAGCTACCACTCATAAATAAGATTAATAAATATAAAGCTTCATGAGGGACATACTTTAGAAAAACTGAAGTTGCTAACAACTATATGCACAACAGTGTGGAAACTGGACTCGATTTCTTAAAAATAGGAGGAAGGTAGTTTCTCTAGCTCATGTATTAATAGGTATAAAATTTCCTAGACAAAAACTCTTGGGTATAAAATAAGGCCCTTTAACAAGCAGTCCTACTATCCTAAATGTATTCTTTAAAAAAAACAAAATCCACAAAAATGTTTCTAGGACAAAACACAACTGAATGCTAGTAACTCAAATTATTTTACCTATGCCCAAAGGAAACAATAAGTCTTTATAACAGCAAATCTAAATGGTATTTGATTTTAAAACTCTTGAGAACATAAAACACATGAGCATACTACCAGTTTATTTTCCTTAGTACTAACATAATGACACCGCTGGAGGCACGGAATCTTGCAAATGGTGCTTAGAACTTGAAAATATGAACATAAATTTACAACTGTAAAAATTAGAGTTTCATGTAATGAAGTATTATTATACCTTAACACATTTTAAGCTCAAAATATGTTATTTGTATTCATAAAAGACAACTTACTTTCTCTGTAATAACAATGCAATTTCTGTTTGAACTTTCATATATTCTTGTGCCATTTTACAATGCTGTTCAAACACTGCCATAGATTCTTTGGAGTTTGGGCATGGTGCTAGAGGCTAAAAATAAAGCAGAAATGTTAAGACAACAGTAAAACATAGCTCAGTATCTATCTAAGATGAAAGTTAGTGGAGAGAACGTGATATATTTTCATGGCATGAAAACAATGATCTTTTAAAAGTTTAAGTGCTATTAACATACACTCTAGAAAACCTCAGGGTCCTTTGGTCCGAGCTGATTCAGAATCTAAATATATGTGTGCTGCTTTAACACTTTAGCTGTTAAAGAAAAGCAGGTCTAGAATGAGCACACCCAGCCTCACATATGACATTTCAGGTCGTCCACGTGCATCACAACTAGCTCAGAATCATAGGCGGCACTGGAATTCATACTTGCATCTTCAGCCATCTGAGTATTGCGAATGTATCACAAAATGCGTGAGACAGGAATGAACGTCTATGAATTTTATATTTTAATGCACTAAAATTGAAAATGTAAAACCTGGCAGTCTTGACCACAGACGAGTATATTTAGGATGACTGTTACAGCAGGAGCATCTGATCCTGTCATCTTTAAGTCTGACTGAATCAACTAAAATAATTATTTGTTTGAATATGATTTCAGAACATTTTATAGAAGGCCAATTAAAAGTGTAAATAGATGAATATGAAATGATAGGTAAGAACAAAACTGTTAGCTTTCACACAAACTCTAAGAGGATAAAAATGAACTTTCACTGCTAAGTTCTCCTTTACCTGCAGTTGGTGATCCAGTGTAAGATAGGCCATGGGGATGGAGTTATCTGATCCATTGGTATCTGAAATTCAAACATGTAGTCTATTTATTTCTGTTACACAGAATTAAAAACAACCAGCAGAACTCATGCATGAGGTACTGGTTTTTTCTTGGCTAAAGGAAATGACATGGAAGTTATTGCTAGTGAAAATTAAAAAAAAAAAAATCTAATTTTCAATTTTAAAGGCAAAAGGAGGGCACCCAATTACATTATTACAACTCAGTTATATTCTCTTATTTGCAATTTTAAGTTGGCTATAAGTGAAGAGAACACAATATATTAAAGACTGTAAGCTCCGACTTGATTAAGAACAGTGATATAGGTCCTATATATGTATACATTATATACACACATTAAATATATATGCACACATGTAAAAATACACATATTTAAAACTTTTTTTATTCATTTGAAAAGCAGAGTTAGAGACAGGGAACTCTGCCACCTGCTAGTCTACTTTCTAAATGGCTGCAATGAACAGGGCTAGACCAGGCCAAGACGAAGAGCCAGGAACTTCTTCCAGGTCTCCCATGTGGGTTGCAGGGACCCAGAAACTTGGACCTTTTCCCAAGCACATCAGCAGAGAGATGTACTGGGACTTCAATCAGTGCTCACATGGGATGCCGGCATTGCAGAGACTTAACCTGCTACATGTGCAGGCACCTGGAACTTTATATTCTAAATTCAGTTTCATCTGATCTTACCTGATCAGATCCCAATATTTCTGTATCATGCTAAATCTACTAAAAGGTTATGTGAACCCTGAAAACAGATGTTCCTTTTAAAGTTACAGGAGAAAGCAAGATACATATTCTTTTCTAGGTCAACTTTCAATATCAAATGTGAACCACCGTCTTGCCCCTCCCACTAAGAATCACTAAAGAAAATGAGCGATATTATCATATTACACATATGAACAATATGGAAACAGAAAGGTTTGTTTTGTCATATTAAAAATAGTTACCTGGTTAACTCAAACAACCAGTGTACTATCTGAACACACAGCTTTTGTTTATATTTCGAAAGCAATGAAATTGTCTAAAAGTTGACTGAGATTCGTAACATGGCATTTTTCTCAACCTCAGTGTTTATGTAGAGGAGTTCCACTAGTAAACAGAGTAACTGTGTCTCTCAACTTCCCTATTTCAAAAGCAGCTGTTTAGAAGATGGTCCAAGTAATTGGGTCCTTGTACCCCTTTGGGAGACCCAGATGGAATTCTGGAATCCTGGCTTCCACCTGGTCCAGACCCTGCCATTGCAGCCATTTGGGGAGTGAACCTATGGATGAGAGAGCACTTTGTCTCTCATTCCATTACTCCACCTTTCAAACAAATAAATCTAAAACAAATAAAAGTGCCTTTTTTCTCAATGTTAGTAGAGAACACATAAGATACATAGAAAAAAATTAACTAACCAAATGAGCTGTTCAGCCCTTTCCAGTATGCATAAAGGCAAGGTCAGGACACTGTGGTCAATCCAACAAAAAGCTAAGATAGTCTGAAGGCTCATAATATAACTTAGAAAGCACACTAAGGTTTCCTAAAAATATTTTCTGAAGTTGAGGAAGGAATCAACTTAATTTTCCATTTCTCTGACCAGTCCTATCCCTACCCTCAAAAGTGGTTTAAAACTATGTTTCTTGTGCTTTCTGTAACAGTAAAATGGAATAAAAATATACCCCTGATTTAATGGAAAGATTAAGTATCTTAAAAAAAAGAAAATAGATATGAGACAGCTGAATGGTACCCTATAGTCTTTTTAAGGTGTATAGAAGCCGGTTGTATATAAACTAAAATTGAAATGTCAATGAAATAGTCACAGGATGTGGTTAACAACTTGCATTTTTAAACATATTGGTTACTCAATACCATGTCAATTAATTCCATAATGTTGTAAATTGTTGTTGATGTTATGCTGGGGCTTTTAATTGATAGGGATGATATTCTGCCAGCTCTGTTTTCAGACCAGAGATGGTCTTCCCAAGAAACTGTTGAATTTATCTGGACAATAAGATGCTGGACTCTATGCTTAGTATATACTTGCAATGAAAGAATCTTGACTGGATTTGAACTGTAATACAAGGTGGAGGAATCTACCATGGGGAGAGGGTCCAGGGAGGGGTTGGGGGAATCCCAGAGCCTATGAAATTGTGTCACATAATGCAATGCAATTAATAATAAAAAAGTTTCAATTTAGCATTTCTACTCTTGTTTCTGATATGGATTTTATTCATATTTATTTTTACCTACTTGAACAGTACAGTGACCTTCCTTCCAGTGTTTCACTCCTCAAATGTCTGTAATAGTCAGGGCCAGGCCAGGCTGAAACAGAGTCCAGGAGTCTGTCTAGGTCTCCCATGTGGGCGGCTAGAACCTAATTACTAGACCTTCATCAAACTAGCAGGTTAGTGCAGCAGCTTGGACTTGGACGGGAATGTGGTTGCACTGAGTGGTGGCTTGACCTGCCATAATAATGACCCACATCCCTATTTTAGAATGAAGAATAATCCATCAATGTTTCATGGTATATTGGGGCAAGGGGGAGAGTCCAGGAATGGGGAGGCTGCTAGGCACAGTGCTTCAGGATGCTTCTTGAGAAGCATCTCCCGTCTTTGGCACTGGCTACCCTGCTTCTGTTCCAACGTTCTGCTGACACATTTGGTAGGAAGCAGGAGGTGATGGACCAGGTTCAGTTCAAGGATCCTCATAGGGGAGACCAGAGTTCTGGGCTATTAACTGTGAGCTGGTTCAATACAGGCTACTGAAGGCATTGGTAGAGTGAACGAGTGATAGAATTTCAGTCTCTCTTTTTCTCCACTTTGCAAATAAGATGAAAATAAGAAAACAAGACAAACAAAAATCCAATCCCAAAACAATTCCTACCTATGAGGATTTTAAGAAAAAGAATTGTGATAATCAAACAAAATCCTTTCACAGAAGTATTCTATTTCTCACTTGTATCTAAGCTGAAATTGAGCTTACATGCTGCAACAGCTATAATTGGTCACAAGATGGCAAAGTTATTAGATAAAAGTGTTTTTTTAGACATTTCAGTTGCTACTAAAACGTGATCTCTTACTTAAAAAAAAAACCCCAAACAACTCCAACCCAAAATGACTTACTCATTTGAAAGTCAGAATTATAGAGCTGAATCTTCCAATTGTTGGTTCATTCCCCAGATGACCACAACAGCCAGGACTAAGCCAGGTAGAAACCTGAACCCGGCAACTTCATCCAGGTCTCTCATGTAAATGGCAAGGTCCCAAGTACTTGGCCCATGCTCTACTGCTGTCCCAGGTACATTAACAGGGAGTTGGATGAGCAATGGAGCAGCCAGGACATGAACCAGCCCTAAATGGGATGCTGGTGCTGCAAGTAGTAGGTGGCAGCTTCATCTACTACATCACAGCACTGGTCCCAAACTCAATCTCTATGCTTTTCTTTAAAAAAAAAAATTATTATTGCACTGGTCCCAAACCCAATCTCTATGTTTTCTTTTTATTAAAAAAATTATTTTATGATAGTTTCATAGGCTGTTAAGATTCCCCTGACTCCCACCCCAAAAACCCCACCTTCCATCCTCCACTGATTTCCTGTATATTATTACAGTAGTATAATTCTTCATAGTCATATGTCCATCATCACAAGCCTGGACAAAGGCAGAGAGTCTGGCAACCTATTGTCAAGATATATTTAACACTGGTTGGATTGAACTAGGCTTCAACGCCCATTGACATATATGAGAGTTTGTCTAAGGTGATCCCAGACCAGATTATAAACCAGTGGGGTTTATTGTGGGTTGCTCCGACTAGGCTGCAGCTCCCACTGGTTTATGTGAGAACCGAGTGTGTGCTGGGCAGAATCAGGCTGGACTGCAACGCCCATTGATTCCAGTGGAAGACAGCTCTGGAAGCAGAACCAACCCAGCAATTGCAACCACCACCTGATTGGGGAGATGCACTGTGCCAGGCCCTGTACTTGCAAGTACACACAAAAATCTGGTCTGGGATCACCTCAGACAAAGTTTCTTTGAGGATCTCCCCAATCAAACTGCTGGACTCAGAACCCTAACCATGAAAAGACAGAGGACAGAACAAGTCAGTCAACTACCTCAGCAGTATGTTGGCAGTGAAAAACAGGGCAGATGGTGACTCAAAGAAGGACTACGTCAAACAGTGGATTCTTCAGTGACCTCATCGTGCTTGGAGTGGCGAGAATGACAGCAATTCAGAACTGTTGAACTGTAAAACCATTTGAGCAAGACCCTTGGAACATGCCTCGTATCAGGGACCTTGGATTGGTGGGAGGCTGGGTGGGGCTTTTCCCTTTATCTCTTCCTTTACCCCAGATACAGAAAAAAAGATAATAATATGGAAACGATAGTCTTACCCGCTTTTCTATAGCCCTTGACCCTTTGTAAAGATTGTCAAAATAAAGTAATAAAAAAAAGATAGGGTTAACAGTTTCATTGGGAGTCCATCTTTGATCTGGAACTAGAGATGCATACTGCATTGTATCCTCACATTTCGATATGATAGTCTCCATTATACAGTTACTGTACATCCGTTTAAATAAAAGCCACAAAACAAAACAACAGAAAAAAGAAATTAACAACACCATGAAGTTAAAAACCATGCTACTGCAGGATTAATGTATCACTGAAGAAATGCAAAAGAAAATCAAGAACCTTCTTGAAGAAAATCATGCTGCTGTATGACCTGAGTCAATGAAAAATTTAAAATGAAAAAACAAAACCATTTTTTGAAGAAATGAAAATAAAAAAACATCAAAATCTATGAGATACAGGTTCCACTGATCTTTGTTGGTGAGATGTGTCTCCTGTAGGCAACAGATAGATAGGTTTTGTTTTTTGATTCAGTCCACTAATCCATGACATTTGATTGATGGGTTTACAACATCTGCCTCAGAGTTAATAGGAATAGGTAGTAATTTGGTCCTGTCATTTTAGCAATAGGTTGCACATTGCTTGATTAAGTCTTCTGCCGTTATCTTACTGGGATGTTCTTCACATTTGCCTTTGGTTTTCAATTCTGAGATTCTTTCTTCTGCCTCATTCAGTTTTTGAGACTTTCCACAGAATTAATTAGCTCTATTGCATCCTTCATTCCCAATAATTCGGCTTGACTTTGTATCAATGTTGCTATTTCCTGTGTGATATATTCCTTAAATTCTTTGAACTCCTGTATGTGCTTCTCATTGATAAGGAACTTTGTGACGAGTTTTCTGTGTTTCTCAGTGAACTCTGAGGTTGGCAAAGGCTTTTGGTCCTTTGCAGGGGAGTCTTCAGTAGAATTCATTGTGTCCATCTCTTCTTTTGCTCTTGATCATTGTACTTCTGGTTAGCAGGCTCTTCTCCTTAGGGCAGGTTTCTAAGCTGTGTTAGCTACACATCTTCAGTTCTATTATACTGATTGCATTTGGTACCTGGTTCTTTGTTGTGGCAGTCACTTGTGCCACTCTCTCCAATGAGTTTCAGATCTGGCCTCTTGTGTTACGTTTCCATCACAGTCTCTGTAGTCCCAGCTCCTGGCTCACTACTCTCCACCTCCTGTGATCCTGTACAGACCATTGTCTGTACAATGTTTTTCCCACTTCCAGTTCAAGTAGTTCCCAGGATTAGGAAGACACTAGGTGTCCTAATTAATTTGGCTGTTGGTGGTGCTGATCTTGCCGAAACCTGCTGGCCTTTAGGTCTCAGGACCACCTGGACCTATTTTGGCTGGGACCAGCAGGATGCCAAATTTGGTATTATTTTCCATGTGGGTCCGGCATAGTGCACTAAGCTGAAAGTGCATGTGTAGCTCACTGTTGTCCCTCCAGTTTCCCAAGTTTTTGCCAGTGTATAAAAGAATGGCACCTGATGTGCCACTCATGGAATTTTGTATCTGCTAGCCAATAGGTCTGGGGGCTACCTGGACATATTTTGGGTGAAAGCTGTAGGATGCCATGTCAGTGCAGTATACTGAGTCAGAAATGAATCTCCTCCCAGCTGAGAGCATTCACACTCCCATACCACAACCTTTGCCTCCCTACATAAAATGGCGTTTGATGTGGCTCTGACTGGGTCTGGGCTGTGAAGTCTACCCCTATTCCTGCATGACCTGTTTGGAATCTGCTGCTGTCTGCTTCTGGTCAAAGCAAATAAATCAGCAGAACGGGCAGTTCTTTGCCTGGGTTTATCTCTCGAGTTTCTGGTGAACTCCCCTTCCTCCCTTGCTGCTGGTGGAGCTCTGGCCACTGCTGGAGCTCAGATCACTGCTAGTGACTGCCATTGGGGTATCTGGTCATTGTAATACCACTCTGTTGTCTGCTGTTTTCTTGTGTGTCCATCAGTCTCCAAGCACCCCTCTGTCATCGGCCTGTCCTTTCCTATTTCCTGGAAAGTGTCTTCTTTGCTTCACTATGGCTAATGATTCTCCATTTAAACCTGTCCTTACCCTATTCCATCACCCTGATTCTCCTCCCGACGTCTTATCAATCTTGAGACTCACATTGGTTTAGTTAAATCAGGCAAAATCTTTCTGGGTCCCTCCCAATATCAAGCTTGTTTCACCTTCTATTGTTAAGTATGCCTTTTCTTCACATGGGGTATTTCCATCTCTGCTCTACTTGATGACTAAAAAAAAAAAAAAATCACTTTTTTATGAAAAAAAAAAAAAATGGACTATGCCAGGTTTTACTTGATTTTTCTCTATTACTATTAGAACCCTCAGACTGTAAGCATAGTAATTTTTGATGCTTATTTGCTTATTATTTATTTTTATTGGAAAGGCAGATTTCAGAGAGAAGGAGAGATAGAGATAAAGATTTCTTATTTGCTGATTTTGCTCCCCAAGTAGCCTCATGGCCAGAGCTGAACTGACCAGAAGACAGGAGCTCCTTCCAGGTCTCCCATGTGGGTGCAGGGTTCCAAGGCTTTGGGCTGTCGTCTACTGCTTTCCTAGACCACAAGCAGGGAGCTGAATGGGAAGTGGAACAGCTTGGATATCAAATGGTGCCCAACTGGTGCGTACAAGGCAAGGATTTAGCTACTGAGTCATTGTGTTGGGCTCACAGCAAGAACTCTTCTATTGAGTTCCCCCAGGTGGCTCCTGCTCTGGGTCCAGAAATGAAAGTCTGTCTTTATACATCATTAGACCATAATATACCCATCATACTATAATTAAAGACCAAAGAACATTATCTGCTATGATTACCAAATTATTACACTGCTTGTCTGGAAATACACAGAAACTTTTGTTTAAATGAAAAAAAACATGATCCAGTTGTTTTAAATTATATTCTTAATTTTCTCCTGGGTCAGAAGATGGTTCAAGAAAAATGCTTTACCTATCTGTTCCATATAATTTGTTCAGCCTCGTTTCCAATACTTCTTAGAAATCCTGCAAAGGTACCAGCATTGTGGTGCAATGAGTTACGCTGTCACTTATGACACGGGCATGTTCTATGGGAGGACTGATATCAGGGCCAGCTGCTGTGCTTCCCATTACCTCCAGTATGGACCTGGGAAAGCAACAGAAGATGGCTCAAGTGCCTGGGCCTCTTCCTTCCACACGGGAAACCACGATAGAGTTCCTGGCTTCTGCCTGGATCAGACCTGGCTGCCACAGCCATTTGTGGAGTAACACAATGGATAAAGGATTTCTTTGTCCCTCCATCTCTATGTCATTCAACCTTTCAAAGAAATGAATAAAAACTTTATAAACTAGTTAATTTTTAAACTAAAACTAGAGTTTCAATTGAAAAATACATACTTAAAGCTATTTCAAGGCATAGACAAAATTCGTTTAATAAAGCAAGTTAGACCCAGGTAGGATTTCTAGCTAAGTGAAAGACACATAGAAGAATTTGGATTTTATCTCTGTAATTGGCAGCCTCTTATACTTTCAACTGGTGTATTTACATTAGTTTAGGCTGAAGTTAGGAGGCAAGCTCAACGCAGACCTGGGCAAATGCTGCTGTTAATCTGAGGGAGTGTATTCCTACACTGGAAAATTCAAGAACCAAACAGCGGCTGCCCTGTGAGCGCTAGTGATAAAATCTGCCAAGAGCATTTCCCTGTCTGCAGAGGGGAGGGGCTGATTCATGACAGATCCTGTGTACATACGGGGTACTGATGAATGTCTATGACAATTTGAGTCTCAGATATGCCAAGAGCAAAAGTTAGAGGAGTTTTTACCACCATTAAATTTAACATTACTAAAACTAGAAAGTACAGCCCTGGCTAAACATAGTCCTTTCTTACATGACACAGAGAAAAGCCACGCCATTAATGTTTTCAATTAAGCTGTAATTGACTAAACCATGCCAAATATCTATTAATACTTGCCATGTTTTAGTTTGTAAAGGCAGAAAGCTTTTTAATTTCAACTTAATTGCTACTATTAATAACACATTTGATGTAATATAAAAAAAACTCAATTGGTTTAATTTTTTAGAGTATAAGAGATCATCTTTCACTCTCTGACTTAATAAAACAAATAAAAATCTTCATATAAATATATTGCTGAGTTTTTAAAAAAAGATTTATTTATTTTTATTGCAAAGTCAGATATACAGAGAGGAGAGATGGAGAGGAAGATCTTCCATCTGATGATTCACTCCCCCAGTGTCCGCAATGGCCAGTACTACACCAATCCAAAGCCAGGAGTCAGGAACTTCTTCCAGGTATCCCACGTGGGTGCAGAGTATTAAGGCTTTGGGCCATCCTCGACTGCTTTCCCAGGCCACAAGTAGGGAGCTGGATGGGAAGTGGGGCTGCTGGATCAGAACCGGCGCCCATATGGGATCCCAGCGCGTTTAAGGTGAGGACTTTAGCCCTAGGCCACCATGCCGGGCCCTATTGCTGAGCTTTTATCAAGGCCTTTTCTTAGGAAAAAAATTAATTCTACAATAGTACATCATTTCTGCTTGCCTGTAATGAAGCTATTTTATTAATACTTTCAGGGGGTATATTTTAATGCTAATACTTTGACCATGTAGTTGCTCACGTTGGGTAGCCTTAACAACTTTTAATGGGTGTTACAGATCTATTCATAGAATTTATTTTATGATACCAATGAACTATCTGTATCACTAAACATGATTTTAAAGATCACAAATCTCCCCCCCCAACTAGGGTACGAATTGCATAGTCCTTTAAATAACAGACTATGATAAAGACAATGATTATTCATATTACTGATTCTAGTTTTTTAGAAGATGTTAACTTTACTGCTATCACCTAGTAGGATGTACCATAACAGGAATACTACAGCATCAAGAGTACAATATACTACACCGAACAATGCCTAACTTGGTAAAAACTAGGGTAGAGATACACACAAAGAACACACGCGTGAAAAACTGACAAGTCACCTGTGGAATCGTCAGGGGTCCATGGATGACTTCGAGTTGGCTTTTCTGAAGTTGGTCCTGAGGTAGTGATCATTCTGACACTAGGACTGGATGATCTACTGCTCACCTGTAAAAAGCGACAGGAAACAAAACACGATTTGCTTAGAAAAAAAAGGGTAAGAGAATATTTCAATAAAAGATACCGGACAGGCTTCCATTTCTCTTCATTGAGAACTTCAAGCACTCCTGCAAAAAATACACCTTTTGAGAATATTATCAATGTTAGTATTTACAGACACATGATACCTCCTAATAACTGATGAGCTTGCTATATAGTAACTGAAACATTCTTTCGAAATCAGCAACAAAAAAAGCAAGACAGGACATCAGCAAGAACTTACGCTCCATCAATGGGTTTCAACCGAACATTCAACGGTCCAGTGCTTTTGCTGACTGCCTGGCAAAGTCAGTGGAACAGAAGATAAAAACTTTGCAGGATGGGAGTAAGACCAAAGAAACTTTGGATCAGAGCTAAAACTCTGGAAACGTTAAACTCACAGTAAGCAACTTGGAGGAAAAAAAGGAAAACAAAACCAAAAACATCCTGTCCCACAAAAGCAGAGAGCAAATAAGCTTATAGTGGTGATGGGAGGATGGAAGAATTCTATCTACTGTGAATCCTCAAGAAATTTCCAGAAATAGTGGAAGAGACAACAGATACATCCAATTGAAGGCAAGGGATCTAACATACATAGCTAGAAAAAGAACGGTATAAGCTTCCTCAAATGAATAATAGTTTCTAATACATTTTTGGAAATTAAGTAGTAAAGTTTAAGTTAAATGAATTCCAAACAATGTAAATAAATTCCAAACAATACATGACTATCAAACTTTTCACACATGATTTGAAAAAAAAAAAAAAAAAAAGAACACACCAAACCCAGAGGTTTTTATCAGTTAAGTTCCATCACACATGAAGAAGTTTTTCTCTGTCTTGGCTGCGCGGCACTGCGGGTTCAGCGGTCACCTGGCATGCAGGCAGCCCAGCAGCTGTTAGCCAAATGTCTGTTGTTCTGCTCTGGATTCGTTACTGTGCCTGAAAGGAAACGGCAGATAGGCAGGTGCTCTGAACCGTCTGCCAGCTTACACAGCAGATCCAGAAAAGACTCTGGGGTCCCAGCTTTTGAGGCCATTTGGGCAGTAAATCAGCAGATGGAAGATCTCTTACTGTCTCCTTTGTTTGTCATTCTGACTTTCATTCAAGAAAAATAAATCTTAAAAAAAAAAAGGGAAGGAGAAATTATTCCAGAAAATAGAAAAATAATACCTGGCTCATGATACAAAGTCACAAAGACCTGATAAGAATAGTGTGACACAAAAAAGACTAGTTAAGTTCATGAAAAGAGATGAAAAAGTAAAAAAAAAAATCAAGCAGAATTTGATATTATAAAAGCAATAAAAACCACTGGAAAAAATGGACTTTTCTAACAAAAGGTTACAAATCTAACACTAGCAAATCTATTAATATAATTAATCACAATAGTTAAGTAGGAAAAAAAATCTAAATTGATACATAAAACATGAAAATTTAACACACTTTTTTGGAAAATACACATAACACAAATAAATTTCATTTAGATTGGTACTTTGAGCCTGGCACAGTAGCCTAGTGGTTACAGTCCTCTCCTTGCATGCACCGGGATCTCACACAGGAGCTGGTTCTAATCCCAGCTGCCCCACTTCCTATATAGCTCCCTGCTTGTGGCCTGGGAAAGCAGTTGAGGACGGCCCAAAGCTTTGGGACACCATACCCATGTGCGAGACCTGGAGGAGTCTCCGGACTCCTAGCTTTGGACTGGCACAGCACTGGCCATCGTGGCCTCTTGGGGGAGTGAATCATTGGAAGGAAGATCTTCCTCTCTGTATATTTGACTTTCCAATAAAAAATAAATGTGAAAAAAAAAAAGCTGAAGAATAAAGATGATAATTTATCAGCCAGATAAAAGAACATGCAAGGGCACTCACTAGAAATGGTAATGGTCCATTTCTTAAGCTGGGTGGTAGGTTCACATCAATTTACTCTCCCCCCCCCCAATTTCTTTTAACATTGTTCATGCAGTTGAAGAGGGATGCACACCCATGTGGGCCTCTGATTTTTTAACTTTGAAGTTACATACATATTCTTGCCTACATATTGATTTTCCATGTATTAAAAACTCTTGAAGGGTATTAATAATGTAATGTAAAATGGATTACATCAGGTTTTCAAGAAAAGGTTTATTTATTTATTTACTTAGAAGACTGACAGCGAGAGAGGGAGAAACTAGGGAGATCTTCCAGAGTGCTCACAAAGGGCAGAGACTGGGGTCCGGCAGCGTGGCCTAGCAGCTAAAGTCCTCGCCTTGAACGTGCCGGAATCCCATATGGTCTCCAGTTCTAATCCCGGCAGCTCCACTTCCCATCCAGCTCCCTGCTTGTGGCCTGGGAAAGCAGTCGAGGATGGCTCAAAGCTTTGGGACCCTGCACCCATGTGGGAGACCCGGAAGAAGTTCCTGGATCCTGGCTTCGGATCGGCAAGGCATCGGCCATTGCGCTCACTTGGGGAGTGAATCATCGGAGGGATGGAAGAACTTCCTCTTTGTCTCTCCTCCTCTCTGTATATCTGACTTTCCAATAAATAAATAAATTAAAAAAAAAAAAAAAAAGGCAGAGACTGGCTGGTTGGAAGTCAGAAGCTGGGAACTCTTCCATGGACACAAGCGACTCAAGTCCGTGGGTAATCAGCCGCTGCCTCGCAGGCGCATGTTCAAGTAGCTGGACTGGAAGCATGGAATAGTCACACCTGAGTCATGCTCACCAACGTGGGTCAGGGTCTCTAAGTAGCCACTTGTTGCATCAAAATGCCTCTCGCATGCTATATTTTTAAAAAGTACCTTTTTTCTTCAAGTGTTACTGAATATCAAAGAGCCCCACCCCAAGGAAAGCAAAATATATATAAATCACAAAGATCTTAATACACTTTTAGCTTGTAAGCACACAAACTTGGTTCGGAGGGTAATGACTTCTAGCGGCCTAGACAGTAGTAAATTCTGTGATTTTAAACCTTGCAAACCCACGATGGATATTTTAAACAGCCCAAGAGACTTGCATGATAATTTCAGAGATAAAACACAAAAAAATAATTTCAAAGAAAAATGGGTAAAAGACTACTTTCATCTTGTTTACCTATCAAAATGGCTTAGATCTGAGATATTTTCTTATAATAAATAAAATAATTTTTAACTGTGTCAAATTGGTGTTTCCAAAAGTTCTTCCTTCATGCTACTTTCACAAAGGTGTCTGGCTTATCACGTTATTCAATTTTGCTTTTCTCTCTCCTTCTTGCTATTATCTCCCCACTGTGAAAGGCTTGACTTCATGTTTCCTTCAGTATTATTGGTCATTTCTGCCACTTCTCCAGTTCTCTGCACATAAAACCAGGCCCTGTTTGAGGAAGGAGTGTGACTGGCACTGTACCAAAAATAAAAATGTTCATTTGCTAGTTAGGGGGTCAGTTCCGGGATTCTCTGATGTTGAAGTCTTTCCTTCCAGGTTTCCCGCACCCATCCATATTCTCTCCTCTTAAAGTTCCATGTGTCATTTCCCTCCTGATTTTTAGTTTAGATCCCATCTTAATTCAAGTCTAATACGGTGTAGGTCCCAGAGCATGTATCAAACAGATGTACACAAATTGTCAATTTTATAAGGTAAAATATTAGCAATCTCATATTGTCCAGCTAACACTCTGGAGACCTGGGTTTCACAGTTTCAGTGCTGCCACTTACGGCTCTGGGAACTTGTGTAAGTATTTGAGCTTCCATAGTTTTAGGTTTCTCATTTATGAAGTGCGGTTGAGAAGAAATAGTAAAAGGAAAGAAACCAGGCCTTGGAGACAAGTCAGTGCATAGTTTCGAGTTTCCTCTCTGCCTTTCTGAGTTGTGCAGCTTTAGTTATTAAACCTCTGAGACTCAAGAGTAAAGTAAGAACAGTACTGCCTACCTCATTAAGCTGTAAAAATGCAGCAAAATGATGTACATTAAGTGTGTTAGCGCAATAAAAATGCTAACTAAATGCTGAGTAAGTAAAGGCTGCAAATACAAGATGGGAATATATGATTAGGCCGGTAGTACTTAGCAAGTCCCTGTCTAGCTCCAAATGACAGTTCTTTTTAAAGTATGCTAGTATACTAACCCCTCTGCTTTGAATGTCAGCTACATTTATAGTCAGTTTCTACATAAACATTAAACTTGAAAGGGACATGCTTTAAGCTACTTTCAGTTTTTATTCCTCAAAACCACTGTAATTTCTTAAGGACAGAGCCTATATCCTCATGGTTTAGGACAACTGCTGAATACTCAATAACCTTATCATAAACACTCACTGAATAAAGTAATAACACAAGCTGTTGGCTAATGCTATGCTTATTTACCATTGATTGGTACCCAAAACACACACAACCTGTGTGGGAGTAATTCTTACTTTTATAGCACTGTCATAATTGGAAACGTATAGATATTACGAAATTATTCCTGAGCCTTTTAATCTTCTCTGATTGAATGCATGTCTTGATGATTTAAGAATTTTTTTCCTCATAATCATAATCTCTAATGCAAAACAAGAGAAAATTTTCTTCTAAAGTGGTGACAGATTAGAGGGTTTCAGAGTCACTGCAATTTTACATTAATGCTTTAATATTTTAAAGGGAAAAATACATGAGATTGTGACATTTAGAAATCAGTACTGGGCCGGTGTGATGGCGCAGTGGTTAAGGTCCTCGCCTTGCATGCCCGGGATCCCATATGGGCACCGGTTCTAACCCCAGCAGCCCCGCTTTCCATCCAGCTCCCTGCCTGTGGCCTGGGGAAGCAGTCAAGGACAGCCCAAAGCTTTGGGAACCTGCACCCGCGTGAGAGACCCAGAAGAGGCTCCTGGCTTCGGACCGGCACAGCATCAGCCGTTGCGGGAGTGAATCATGGGACGGAAGATCTTCCTCTCTGTCTCTCCTCTCTGTATATCCGCCTTTCCAATAAAAATAAAAAATAAATCTTTAAATTAAAAAAAAAAATCAGTACTAATTATTAGAAATAG